AATGTATTAATTGCTTTCTCAGGTCTATTTTTTCAGATCTATCTTAATTTATTATTTGCGTAAAAGTATCGATTCCTTTGTGAAAAATTTCTTATATATATTTTCAATTGAAAATTATCACTTTTTTCTGATTAAATGTTTAATTTGAGGAAAAATGATTTAATAAAATCTCCTACATCTGATAAAGAAAACAAGTGAGGCAACTTTTTTTTCAACTGTATAAAGTTCTTCTTTAACTCATTTCTCAAATCTATTATAGTTCATAACTAACGTAACAGTATGTATTTCATTGTCAAGAATTTTTATTACGCATTTGGAATAAAAGAATTAATTTTTTTTCCTAATTACGCACCTGAAATGCTGAATTTAGCGATAAAAGCAATTTTTGCAATGTACTGCAATAAAAATACCTTATATAAAATTTTCTTACATTTGAATTGGAAACTGAATGCAATATGCTTTAGTATATAGTGAGCACACAAACCTTTATATATATAGCATAGTAAAGAATGGTAAACTGTCTTAGCAAGTAGATTAAAAAAAAAAAAATAGATTTTACACTTTCAAGAACAATAATAAAAGAAAAGAAGTTGAAAAATATAATATTTACAAGAATCTATTTTTAAATAAAATCTTAGACATAAACATTAAATTAAGTATGAAATTTTCATTCAAAGCGAAAACTGCTTATAAAAAATACAAGAGCGGTGTGAAGATAGAAGTGAATAAGAAAGAAAGTTTTAACTAGAATAGAACCATCATTTTACTACTCAATCAACGTAATAGGGTTGCACGCTGTAGCAAGATGTGACGCATAGATCGGTTGGGTTACCATATTCTCAATTTTACGGTTTTCAGAGAGCTTATTCTCGACCGCGCCAAGCGGTGCCGAAATCGTGAGCATTTCCGTGAGTGCAAACCGGAGTGCCCCAAGTAAATTTCTTCATGAGAGTCACCGAAAATTTTGTGTTAACAAGGAAAAGTTTCAAGATGCTCATCCTACTGCGAAGTTGAATATTTTTATTTCAAGGTAATGATTTATTTTTTACACTATTTCGATTCATAAAATCTTCACGAATTTATGAATTTTATTATGTCGATAAACATGAATTAAAGTAAAAAATTGTCCTTATACCCCCTCAAAAAAAAGTTTATATGGAGAAATAGTATATAAGTTGTCGATGGAGAAATAGTATATAAGCTTTATTTCTTGTTTAAAACTTTTGGAGAAATCAGAAAAAGGTTTTGTGTCTGGTATTTTATTATAAGAAACCCTAATGGATTAAATTTTCAGACATTTCTTTCAAAATGTTTGAAAGATGCAGTTTTGCAAAAAGGCTTTCGGTGTGTTCTATTACATTAAAGTAATGCTGAGATCACCAAAAAGTTGAACGACTTTCCACTGAAAGAACTGTGCTTCCCAAAGAGTGAGAAGTTATTTGTTGGTAATTAACGGGATCCTTATTTTTTCTTCATGAAAATTGTGCTAGGTGTTAAGTTTGTAAAGGTTAATTTACTTAAAATATTATTTTATTGTAAGACATTTTCATCAGAAATCTCAAAAAGTATTAAAAATAATTGCTTTAATAAAAAAAATAATAATAAATACAGCTGACAAACACGGCAAATTCAAGTCTAGTGACCTTAAACTGTTTTAAGTTTATATATATATATATATATATATATATATATATATATAACACAAAAAGCTTCGATTAATCTTTTAATATTAGTTTCTTCGCTATAAAACAACTCCTAATTTATTACTAATTAATTATTCAAGTCGAAATGCTTTCTCACACTTTTAAAAGCCACATCCTGTTCTTAAATCTATTTTTGGTCCAAGTATGCATAAATTTACGTAAAGACATTTTTCCCTTTAATCTTCATAGGAATCACTCGACCTAGCAATAGTAATTTCTAAGATTTCCCTCTTTTCCTTAAATAGAGACATTTTCGGATTTTCGGCAAGGTTTTTCCTACCAGAAAGACTGATCGTCGATGAAATAAACTACACTTTATCGCTCGCCACTCAACAAAGAATGAACTAATAAAATTCTTCTGCTTTCATTAAAATCCTGTGTCTGTTCTCCTGCTCGATCCGACTGCGCCATTTTACACACACACGCACATATATATATATGGAGCATTTGCGTTACATGCAAAAACCACGAAAACCTCCCACTGTTAGCCTGACTGCAAAAGGAATCTAAACTATGATCCGTCTATACTGCGGATATCTTAAGTCAGCACTGTGATCAGTGCAAGCCGTGTGCGGAGTTCGAATCGATCAGCCATCGCTGGGATTCAAACCCGGTACACCTCATTAGAAAGCGAGCGCTCTTTCCCTTGTCATTTGGGTTGGTATTAAAATTATAAGGCTACGGAGTTGAACATTAATAGTCTAAAACACAAAAATAATCACGTATTGAACACAGGTTATAAAATGAAATAAAATAAAAGAAATATGAGAAGGTAGTCGCATTTATTGTGAAGCCAGGTTGAAAAATCGACTTGCTTTATTCTTACAAAGTATCCAGAGAACCAGAGAACCAAATAATAAAATAAAAATTTATATAAAGAGAAACTAAAAATGAAAAAACCAATAGTCGTTATCAAGACACATCTATTGGTATAAATTAATGCGATATTTCTGAATAAAGAATAATTATTCTAAGATAAAAATTATTCTTTATATGTGTCGATATCGCAAAAAACATTTTGTTCAAAAAGATCATGAAATAAAAAAAAAGTAAAAAGTAATCAAACTTACCGGCGTGTAACAAAATGCGGTTTAGGTTTAAAAGTACAATAATTAAACAGTTAACAAAATTCGCGAAGAGGTAAAATATTTGAAGTTGTGCTTATAGCTTGAATTGAATGAAAAAAATTAAAAAATATATATTTGATTGAAGAAGAAGAAAATTTTTTTTATATATATTATTTATAATTTTATATACAGGGTGATTCTAAAAAGATTTTAGGAAGTGATAGTACACACCCAAAGAATGCATGGTCGAAAACAAAACCCAAAACCGCTAGAGGGCGTCAAAGTTTATGTTCTTATATGAGACAAAAACACACAAAGAACGATAAAGTTAAGTTATAAAAGCAAATTTAATGGCATGTGATTACAAAAAGTATTCAAAACAGTGGCCGGCAGCGGCTATGCTGGTACAACGGCGAAGAAGAGATAGGCGAACTTTCCCTGCAGCGGCCGAAAGCTTGGCGACAAATAACGTAGCGCAGTGACTCGCAATAGGAATGGAGCTTTCTCGTTTGCATGAAAAAACTTTCCAAATACGCCAGCACCTTTGCGTTTTGTTTTCGACCATGCATTCTTTGATAAAAATTGTTTATCTGGGTGTGTACTATCACTTCCTAAAATTTTTCCCATCTTATAAAATCACCCTGTGCTCTGAGGTTATTGGCCAAAAATCAAAAATATCTTAGCTTTGAGCACCAATGCATCCCTCGGTGATGTGCTTACTTACTTTGGGCAAATGAGGATTTCATAATTCTAAAATCACCTAGCAATATTTTGTTACTTTTCCCCTCTTTTTTTATTTTGATAATTTCCTTTCTCTTTTTTTTCTTTTTAAACAGTCTCAGTTTATAACACTGGTTGAGGTTCTTTGCCATGAGTACACATACCACTGCTTTAAGTACATACTCATTTGATTTTTGAAACAATAAAGCTGCTACTAGTTGGTGAACCTTGAAACCCAATATTCAAAATCAGTTTCAAATATTTACAATAAGTTTAAATTTAATAAAAATTCAATAATGAATTCCAAATATCTTCATTATTAAAACGAAACTGGTATTAACAAAATAGTTTTGATAATACGCCACTGACTGAAAGAATTTCCATTTTTCATCTCTGTTTCCTCTTTAAATCTATTATTATATTTAAAATCCATTTCATTAAAACGCATTTTTATTCTTAAGGAAAAAATAAAGATATTGAATTTCTTTTAAATAGTTCTACAACTTCCATTGTTATATATTTAAAATACGAACATTTTGAACGAACTTGAAATCTTTATCGTAAAAGATCCCAAGTGCTGAAAAGAAAAAGTTAATCTGCGAAAAAAAAAAGAATCGATTACAGCTTGATCTATTTGAAGAAAAAGTTCCTCTTCTTTTGTCATTTAGGATTTCAACTAAAAATAAATGGAGCATGAAATTGAAATCATTTCTTTTATTGTAGATTCACGAAATTCAACTTATATCTGAGAATGCGAAAGAGATTCTGAGAAAAACGCGAAATTCTATTCCTCTTTCTTTCTTGCTTTACTTTCTCTTCTAAAGATCCATCTTTTTGTTCCTCGTAGAAAGCGTGTTATCCGATCTCTCTAATCATGTCCTTCTTTCTAACTTTTTAAAAAATAAATGAAAGATTTAGACAGAAGATGTTGTTTTTCAGGAGATATTGGTTATTTAACTTTTTTTATAACTTTCATTTTTAAAGCAGGAATTGTTATCGCTCTCTCGTTGAGTTACATTCTCTGGGTGCAGTATTATTGATCACAGCTCTGCGTAACATGTAACTATGACAACCAAGACCATTTCCTTATAGCTCAGTACAAGCAAAACTCTTTCATTTAGTTTGGATTAACCATCCATTACCAAAAGAGAAAAGTACATTCATTTAATGTTCGCCTTTCAATCACAAAATGAACGAGAAAATGACCCAAGCATCAAAGAACATCTTCTGTCAGCGTCTTAACTTAAATTAAATCTGCCTAGCTTTATGTACTTCATCTGTTACTTTTAATTTCTCCCATGATTTTCTTATATCTCAACATTGTAGCCGTCCTAATTATTTTAGTTCTCAATTACATTTCATGATTCATATTAAGAGATTAAGGGGGTATAGATTGTTGGAATCACTGGGGAGAATTTTAAAAGTCTGGCAATAAGAAGAGAATATTCCACAGTGGCGACATCACAGTGACTAATACGCATGCGCGTATTCTTACTACAAATTTAAGGAGTTATCGAATAAACACCGGAGAGTATAACTCAGGTTTGCTACTTCATTGGGAGCAAACTTTAGTGCTGGGGCTGATCGCTGTTTGTAAAGAGGTTGAAAAACAGGGAGCACGTCTGAGTTTAAGAAGGAAAAACTCAAAAAACTGAGTTAAGATGTTTATAGGCAAACCAGGTCAGTAGATGTTAAGCACGAAACATTATAAAGTATTTAATTTAATACGATAAAGAATCATAAACAATTTTTTTAAATTTTTCATTGTACCTAAAAGCTATAATTTACATATTTAAACATACTTTAAGGCAGTAATGTTTACCTTTTTCTTAATTCATACATCAACTATAACATTTCGTGAAATTAATTAATTTTTACAATTTTACCTGCACTCAAAATATTTCGTGATTTATAAGTATGTAAACAAACTTTTTTAATAGTCTGTGAGTTAATTTATAATATTATTTAAACGTTATATTTTATTTTTATGACTTAAATTAATTTATTATAAACATTAGTTTTACTTCAGCACGTGTTTACAAACACATATTCATTTGAAATTCATGAAACATATATGAAATTCATTTGAAACATATTTAAACAATTCGAATCTAATCTCAAATGTTTCGGTTTTTAATTTTTACCCTTCATAAAGAATGCAACTTGTTAATTACAGTTAATTAATGGCTTTTTTATATATCTTTTTCATATGTTACAATATTAATTTGTACACTTATATATTATATTTTAAAATAGCTTAACATCACAGCCATACGTAGTTAAAACAAAAAGTCGTGCACAGTTTTACATTTTGTTAATAATTTAATAATTTATTATTTTGTGAATAATAAAATTCAGTAATTTTCTATAAATTAAAGTTAATAAAATTATAAATTGTAATTAAATTATGTAGAAAATTATGCAAAAATATTATTTATAATGTTATATATCATTCCAACATTCATCTTAATGTTACTTTTATAGTGTATGTTTCGGTTTCGAATTGTCCGGATTACAACTTCATTGTTCCAGTTTATTCAGTTTTTTTAAAAATCTGAATTGAAACCAGCTGTCTATCAGATTACGGATGAAAATAAAAGTTTAAGTACATTATTGATATTGTATTTAAAATGCAAGGGGCTTGTGTTTGAGTGAACTTACTGTAGAATAGAAGGTTTATGAACTGGAATATAATGTAAATAAAATTCAACAGAAGTATACTATAACTAACATTCAATACAGAATTTATGATTAGTTATTTTTAAAGTGTAACAGTTGAAGTGATTTCTAGAAAAAAATTAAATTGTTATATGATAAGTTATAAGATATTTTGCAGTTATAAAGATGAATTGATAATTAACTATATAAGTTTTGCAATGGTAATAATACTTCCTTTTATTAAAATATAATCTACTTTGTTTTTAAATAGGAAAAAATTCCCATAATGTCAAAGATTTTAATAGTTTTTGCGATTTTATAAGTATAATCTTTAAATAAAAGCAATTTAATGGGATCTCTAACACTAAACATACTAACATTTACTATACTTTTGATACTTACATACACTTTTTTTTCGATATATACATATTCATTTACATACCTTTACATACAGTTTCATTTGATATTTACATATAATTTTGAGCGGTTATGGTATGTTTAGTGTTAAACCTGTATTTATCCCCAAATATATTTATACAGATGTGAGTCCCACTTAATTTCAAAAACCACTTAATTTATTACTAAGATTGTACTAATCTCTTTTCTTTTTTTTTCTTTTCCAAATAGTTTAAAAGAATTAATTTCTTTCAATTCGTTTAGGGATTAGAAAAGGAGAGTTTCTTGTAATTTCTCAGGTGTAATTAATAATTTCTGTTGTTAATAACAGAAATACAATGTTTTTGGTAGAAAAAAAAGATAGAGTTTTATTATAAATATATAAAAAATAACTGCATTCTTCCTTGACGTGATATTTAAAATTTCAAAAATTTTATATGATACACGAAATCTTTCATTTTATGATATCACACATCTAATTATTTGAGTATTTCATAACATTTTCATAATGAATACACAACACTGGAAACTCTAATATGCGAGAAATTAGTTATTCAAAAAGTTTTTATAATATCAGAGAAATTTTCTTTGAAAATAAATACACCGAAGAACTTTAAATCCTTCTTTTTTAAACAATTTCAAAACTTAATTTATAACATTTATTATGAACTATCTCTACCTCTTACGATTTCTTCTATTAAAATTATCATTTTATTAAAATTTAAAACAGTTGTACTTTTCTGTAAAGGAGTTGCTCTTTGAATGAATTTTTAAAGCTCTTCTCCCAAATCGTACATTTGACATAATACATAAACTTGACAAATGTCAAAATCTCTTTTTTCAAAAGAGCGTGTTTCATTTTTTAGACAAATTTTAAGAATTCGTCTTTTATTCGAATTTCTGCCGAACAATACTTATAGTGTAACATTTTATTCTGTAATATTTTTTATATTGGCATTTTCTTTTGTTCAAGGTTTTCATAAATGTTTTGGATAACTAATTTCTTTATTGTTATTAAGTAATTTATTATAATATTTTTTAATCTTTGTTATGAAATTATTCTTGAATTTTTCTTCTTTCAGCTTGATAAAATTAAATACGCTGGGAAAATCATTGTTATTTTTTATAAAATTTTCTTAGGAAACCCAATTCTTAGATCAACAAAATAAAAACACACGTTACTGTACCTCTGTATTTTGGTTCAAATTAATTATTTAGAAAAAAGTGAAAAACAGATTTTAACCTTATATTCGCAGCAGTTGACCTTATATCTTTTTTACTACTTATTATTACTTATGCTTTTTTCTATAACTAGCGTATTTTGTAAATAGTGTTCTGCCACCACAATTGACATATTATAAAATGTTTCCAATTTCATGCTTCGTAATTTTCCTTTGATAATTTTTTTTCTCATTCTTTAAATGAAAGAGAATAGTGTCAACAGTTTTGTCATTAATTGTGACGTCTGAAGTAGAATATGGTATTTCCTCTGGAATTTAAGTTTCTAATAGTAATATTGTTAATGGGCAGTGTCAAGGAAATGTAAATTAGATCAAATGCACTAAATGTTTTGTTTTTAAATACTTTTTTAAAAAACTGAGTATACTTAAACATATTATAGTACAGCTCCGTACCTTGACCAATTTGTCCTTTTCACTTTTTTTAGTTAGTGCACTAAAAGAAACATGCAATGCACTAACTTTCATAATCTCACTTCAAATTAAATTTTATAACGTTTCATATCGCTTGTGAATACATTGTAACATATGGCACATAAGCAAAACAATTAAGTATTTAGACGTGTATACATTGATGTATAGTGTATAAAAAAAGGAGTAATAATAACTTTTATAACTTTTGATATATTGATTAGACTTTCACATACTAAAATTCAAGTCAAATGATTTGAGGAACTTATCTTAAATTTGCTTCCAGTATTTACAGTTACAAAATCAGACACAAAAATGTACTTTTTCTGAATAAACATATAATTTGTCGGTGGATTTGGATTCTTCACTCTCAAAATGTGGGGTTTAGCCGCATGCTGCAAAATATGGTAGTAACAGTTTAGGCAGGGAAGTTGCAAAAAATCTGGGGGCCCTTAATATTAATTTCCTTTTTTTACGCAGAATAGTACTAAAAAAAGTCGCCTTTTCAATTTTTTTATTGTTACGAACTATTTGACCGACTCCTTTAAAATATTTAATTCTGTTATTTAAAATTATATACTTAATAACCAGATAAAAAAATGTATACTTTACAATTCAAAAAATTTTGACCATTTTTAAAATAAATGATTAATGATAGTAAAAATTATTTTTTACGTCTAGATTTTTACATAGATACAGATTCCAGATTTTTTGCATAATAGTTTTTTTATGTTTTTAGATTAATGAGTTTTATAATTACGTGGCAAAATTATTTGATTATATTAAACAGTTGCTGCGATATGGTAAAATGCGCAAAAAATGAAACTAACTATAAAGGGTCCTAACTTCTGCCCCTTTCCTGCCTAAACTATTGGGACTACATTTTATTTAGATTGCGACTAACTCCCATATTTTTATGGCCAAGAATCTAAATCCGCCGATAAAAGTTATGTTTATTCAGAAAACGTTCATTTTTGTGACTTAAAATGTTATCAGCACAAATGCTTCAATATATTTTAAATTAGTACCTCGAATTATTAAGCTTGCATCTCAGTGTGTGAAAACCCAATCCTTAGATCGAAAATTTTTAAGATGTTCTCTTTTTAATTTTGTGCACTGTATTATTATACAATTTATCTATTAACAGAAATTAACGTGAATATTGCAAAACGTTTTGATTATTTACTTTTAAAAAACATAAAAATGCACTTTTAAATTATACCTCTAATCTTATTTTATCTATATTTTTTATAGATTAAAAATGATTTCGTTTTGGATAACAAGAGATTTGTATGGAGAGAAAGATCATCTGCTATCTTTGAAAAATATTATGCCAGAAACTGACATTTTAATGAGTTTTAAGCAGAATTACTCATCTAATATTATAAGAATTCACTGTACTATAATGACATTTATTGAACCTTTGATACAAAAAACTGACTTTTTCTTCAAAAGATGAAAATTCAACACCTCATCGTAATTTCTAAAAAAAGAAAGGTTAATGGAAACTTTTAAATTAGTTTCTTTGATCTAAATTATATTTTTAAAGATGTTTAACAATAAATTTAATATCGGGACATTAAATAATGCGTGTAATGTTTCGATAGAATGTCTCTGCTTTAAGACTGCCAGTTAAGGAAATTCTTAGGTGTGGCAAATATTTTTATGAAACTATTAAAAACAATGCATAAGACTCAATTTGATAATAAAATAATTGTCCTTATTCATTCTATAAATGAAGACAATTCTTAACCGATCTTAGTGACCTTAAGCCTATCCAATGTCTTCCGTGTGCTTTATTTGCGAACTCCCGATTTTGAACCATCAGACAAATGGTCTTTGGCCTCCTGCTTCTCCAAGCGAAGAAGCTCTAGAAGATGGACTTGCTATATCAGTACCCGATACATCAGTTGGTGGTTCTACTTATCATGAAGATTGTCTAGTTTGCTACACCTGCGGATTAAGATTAGCTGGTCAAAACATACAACGTGCGAGACGGTATCAAAACAAAATATACTGTTCGTTGCATTATGCAGATGTTTCTGGTTTGAGCAGTGGCGATGAATTTATGCAAAAACTTCGAGATTATAAGAGACAGAGTTTAGGTTGTGCTGAAGCGCGTAGAAAAAGCTCCACCACTCTGCAATTTCCCATTCCTGTCCAAGCATGTCCAGGTTCTGGAGCTTGCGAAGGTTTTCCTCACATTATTAAAATTATTCTAGGATATTGGGTAGAATGTAGTGGAACAAACAGCCTAAACGATATGCCAAATGTTAATTATACTCCCCAAGAATTAGAAAAGAAATTCGAGTTGATGTCAGTTGAAGAAGAAACTTACGAGAAATATTTTTATGGAACTGAACACTGGAATTATTTCACAAATGACGAAGCCCTTGGACCGGTAATTCTTAGTATCAAACAAGAAAACGTGTACAATCGAGATCAATTTAGGTAAGTAAAAAATCTTTCATCGAGTAAATACATATTTTGACAGAAATAGAAGCATTATGAATAAGTATTTAATTAAAAAAATATTTAATATTATGACTCAGAGATGGTGAATTTACGGTACGCGTGTAACTTAATGGCCCGTGGCAGATATTTTGGTGGCACGCGAAAATAACATATTAAATTACTTTGATGTATTAACATTTTCTGAAAACATTTAAAAAAAACATCTCCAAAGCTAGTGCTCATAGTAGGTGGATTTAAAAAAAGTACAATTTAGTACCATTAGGTAAATTTTCCAGAATGTAAGGCTAAATATAGTATTCCTTCCAATCTGGAAGTGCATATTGTAGAAGAGATCTATGAAAAGTATGTTGCATTAACTTCATCAATTTCAGTTTATTGCTTACCACAAAGAGTGTCCGCTTTATGATACCTTGCCGTACTTTGATATTAAACCGAAACTTTATTAAAATAATTTTTATACTATCACCAAATATAGTACGCAATGTAATTCTATAATTTAAAATCACTGTACAATGGTTTAAAGATCGTTTTTTAGGAAGAAAATTATTAAGTGGAACACAAAAGAATAAAAAATAATCGCAGTTTAACTGGCACTTTAATCGAAAAACATTCGCCATCTCTGTTTATAGCTTAACACATCTTAAGGTGAATTTTAATATTTTTTAATGACATTAACGCTTTTTTAAAAACATTATTTAAATGTATCTAGATTAAAATATTATCTAAAATGCATCAATTTCAATGCTTTTATTTCGATGGCACTAATAATTTATTCATTGAAATCGGCATGTATATTTGTCAGAGTAGGTTAATGTAAATGAAATCAGAAAAATTTTGTAAAGTTAAGTTTGATAATCCCCTAAGCATACAAAATATTTCAAAATATCTAATGTTTGAAGTCTTTTTGAGATATTTCCTAAATGAAGTCACTTTTTGATTATAATACTATGTTAATTAAGCAATAAATTATATCTGACGTATATAGTTAAAATTTATGTTTATGCAAATATGCAATTAAGCTTTTTGCTTCGTAAATTCAATTATGTCTTTGAATTTTGTATGAAAAAGTTTATGTCTTCAGATCCTGATAGAATCAATGGTTTGTTAATTACAATACCTATCATAACTTTTAAAATTATGGTTTTAAATGATATTTGGATACATAAAGGATCAAATTTAAAATAAGCAAAAGAGAGAGGGGAAAATCATGAACTAGAAATCATTTAATATCAAAATCCAACCATCATATCATTAAATTTTAGCTAGATTTAATTACATTTATATAATTTTAATATTTCTAACAGTACCAAAAATGCATCACCATACATTAAAGAATGCTCATGTCTTCTTACTCAGAAGTAGTTATTTTTGCATTTTTGAAAAAATGCTCAACTTTGAGTTTTTTAATATTTGTTTCATTCACGTCTCTAACATTTTACACATTATCTATAACATGTTTTATGTACTATATGATATTTTAATTACACATTTTGCAAACTGTTGTAATTTTAAAAGGAATATTGAATAACCACATATCCTTTGGATAACATTGTGACTGTTTAGTATGAAGATTGCTAAGGTTTAATTGCCATAATTCCGCAAATCTTTCCTAATTGTTTAATGCTTTCTTTAGTACCTTTATAAAGTAAAAAATAACAATATTATAATTAAATTAAATCACAGAGTTTTTATAGAAAATATTTTATTTTATTTTTTTAATAGCTTTTACTCAATTTTTATATCCAAGCATTGAATATGAAAATCGAAATACGAATTCTATACCAAAAGCATACTTTTTTACTTAAAAGTCGTTTTGAGAAAGGAATATTACATATTATTTTAATATTTCACATAAAGGTTTGAGAATTACATTCATATGTTAGAAGGAACACATGAAATAATTTTTGCTGCATATAATGTTAAAACGCTTTAATAAGTTAAGGTGATCATGGTGATTTTGAAGGTGATTTTAAGGTGATTTTGAAACTACCGTTTTTTTTCTCCATAAAAAATTCCCTAATAAAGTGAAACTTGGGCAAGTTGACTACTTGTGGTATAGTAGTTCATTTAAACACGTGATCAACTTATATAGGGTATGAATCATATTTTTAGTATCATTTCTAATGTGTTATTTTTAATATATAGAATGTTATTCACATTGTTCATGTTACTCATGAATTTCTTATATGTTACTAACCAAAATAAAGTTAAATGTAACAGAAATTTTTTTAGCAGGAATTTAGGTTTATTTATCAATTTCCATGTGAATCTTAAAGAATGAGATTAATTAGCAGAAAGAATTACGTATATACAAGTTTAATATTAAACTCATTTGTTTAAAAAGAAACAAATATGCATAATTCGTTACTGATGTATTCTAGTTATTTATTATAAATAATTCGAAAATATCATCATGTATTCAGTTAGAGAACATGTATTCAGTTAGAAAACATTGTATGTATTTCTAAATTTATTATTTTTTTACGTATTAACCTATTTGTTACAAAAGCCTTCATAGTTTTACCATAAGGTCAACTCACAAAAGGCTTTTATAATACTATTTTACCAATCAGCGAAATTCCAGTTTATAAAAAATAGCATGGAAAATCTCCGGAAAATTTTTATTTCGGTCAACTTATGTCAACTTCGGTCAAGATTAAGAATAGCATTCAATGACATTCCAAGAAAGCTTTACCTTATTTTAGCGGTCAGCATACAAGGTAGACAAGTAGTCAGGATACGAAGAATTTGCTCTCTCTTATTAAATAGCATAAATTCAGTTTGTAGTAGTATAGGTCAACATAGACAAGTAGTCAATTTAACAGATTACATCGTACCCTAAACTGATATACCAAAAGATTTGTGAGTAGGTAAAACTTCTTAGTACAGCTATAGGTGCTTGAATTTATTTTGAATTTTTGATCAACCAGTTAGAGAAATATTTCTTGCATCAGAAAACTCAAAAGCGTTTTTGGAAGCTACATGCTAAAATTCGAAAGCGAAACTTAATAAATTAACTTCAAATTTAAATTGTATGTTTAAAATAACGTTATTTACAGAAATACATACGTCATGAAGTTTGAATTTTTTTCGCAGCCAGTCTGAGAACATTTCTTGCTTCAGAAAACTTAAAAGCGCTTTTGGAAACTACATGTTTGGAAGCTACATGCTACAATTCGAACGAAACTTCTTAAATTAACCTCAAATTTAAACTGTATAGTTAAAATAACGTTATTTACAGAAATACGTAGGTCATGAATTTTTAATTTTTTCGCAGCCAGTCTGAGAACATTTCTTGCGTCAGAAAACTCTAAAGCGTTTTTGGAAGCTACGCGCTTGTTAGTTTTATCTTTTAAATTTTTTAAAGCCTTTACTCTATTTTTATATTAAAGCATTGAATAGGAAAATCGAAATACAATTTCTATACCAAAAGCATATTTTTATTACTAAATACTTTAAAGTTGTTTTGAGAATGAATATTATATTTTAAGTAATTCACATAAAAGTTAAAGAATTACATTTATACGTTAGAAGGAAAATGCAAAATAATTTTTGCTGCATATAATGTTAAAACATTGTTTTAAGTTAAGGTTACCATGGTAGAATTTTTAAAATGCCATTTTTTTCCCCTAAAAATTCAAAAGTGAAATTTGTGCAAGTTGACTACTTGCGGTATAGTAGTAATTCAGACAGGTGATCAACTTATATAGGGTATGAGTAATATTTTTAATATCATTTCTAATGTATTGTTTATATATATATCGTGTAATTCACATTGTTCATGCTATTCATGTATTTCTTATATGTTATTAATCAAAATAAAGTTAAATGCAATTTAAATTTTTGAGCAGGAATTTAAAGGTTTATTTATAAATTTCCACGCGAATTTTAAAGAATGAGATTAATTACCAGAATGAATTGGGATTACATAAGTTTATATTAAACTTAATTGTTTAAAAAGAAACAAGTTTGCATAATTCGTAACTGATGTATTCTAATTGTTTACTATAAATAATTCCTAATATATCAGAGCTTCCTATCAGTGAAATTCTAATTTATAAAAAATAGTAAGAAAAATTGCCGGAAAAGTGATCTCCTGAAAAGTAATCTCCCGAGAATCTCCTGAACTTCGGTCAACTTTTAAAAGATTTAGAATAGCATTCAAAAACATTCCAAGAAAATTTTACTTTATTTTAGCGGTCAACATGCAAGATAGATAGGTAGTTAGGCTACAAAAAAATTTCTCTTTAATTAAATAGTACAAATTTAGTTTTTGGTAGTAGAGGTCAACTTAGACAGGTGGTCAACTAACAAGGATGGTCAATTTGACAGATTACACTGTACCCTAAAGTGATATACCCAAATATTTGTGAGTAGACAAAACTTCTTAGTACTGTTATAGATGCTTGAATTTTGAATTTTTGCGAAACCAGTCTGAGAACATTTCTTGCGTCAGAAAACTCAGAAGCGTTTTTGAAAGCTACATGCTACAACTCGAACACGAAACTTCATAAATTAACTTCAAATTTAAACTGTATATTTAAAATAACGTTATTTACAGAAATACATAAGACACGAATTTAGAAGTTTTGCGCAACCAGTCTGAGGACATTTCTTGCGTCAAAAACCCCAAAAGCGTTGTTGGAAGGTATTTTTTAGGTATAAATAAGGTATTTTTCAAAGGTATAAATACGACGTTAGAATGAAAACGGTGCAAATGTATACCTCAAAATTTGCCTCAAATATACCTCTAGAAGTATATATGCATCAACCTGAGGTGTTTCATCGTACATCTGGGGAAAAATAGATATTTTCTACTTTAAGGTGTCTCGTTTTCAACCTTAGGTTATTACTTATCAAGCTAAAGTATATTTTTTTGGTACCTGCAGAAATATTTATTCAACAGCCTAAGGTGTTTCATTTAACACTTCAGGTTATTCTGGATTTACCTCAAGTGTGTTTTTCTTCTTTTTTAT